ACAGTTATATAACTATCTGCGCTTGTATCTCAACCCTCAAAAACAAAAAAAAATATATATAAATATATAAAAAATATATAAAAATATATATATATATATATATATATATATATATATATATATATATATATATATATTATAATAATAATATATTATATATATAATAAGTTTTATAGTAAGTTAATAATAATTTGAAATTTTATTACCTGTTCAAGAACAATTATAGCTTCATTAATATAAGGCATCAACAATCTATTAGCGATGAACCCTGGAACATCTTGAGACTGTGTACAAGTTTTGCCCATAGATATTGCTAATTGTTTCGTGATGTTTAAAGTTTCATCGGAGGTAGTTAATCCTGAAATAATTTCTACAAGTTTCATCACAGGCACAGGGTTCATGAAATGCATTCCGATAACCTATAATAATATAATTGTATAATTATAATTTACATAATTTTTATAGTATAATTTATAATTTATATAACTTATAAATTAATTAGCGAAAAATAATACCTTTTCAGGCCTTTTCGTAGCAGCAGCAATCTTTGTGATACTAATACTACTAGTATTTGTAGCTAAAATTGATTCCTTATTTAAAACATTATCCAAATCTTCAAATATTTTTCTTTTTAAATCAATATTCCCAGAAACTGCTTCGATAATAAAATCAACATCTGACAATTCGGAAATATCTGTTACAGTTGTGATCCGCTTTTTTACAAAAGATCCTTCTTCAACCGTAATACGATTTTTAGAAACGTCCTTGCTAATCAATTCATCTATAAATTATAAAAAAAGACCTATTTATATTATTATTATTATTATTAAATTATATTATTTATATTAATAACTATAATATTAATATTAACTATATTAACTATAATATTAATATTAACTATATTAAATATAACATTAATATTAACTATATTAACTACATAACTATATTATCTGTGTTATCTGTGTTACCTATAGAATAAAAAGGATGGAATTACCCACTAATTTCAACCCTTTTTCGATCTGTTTAGGGTTTGTATCCAAAATTTTAACCGGTAATTGTGCAACTTTTGCTCCAACCAGAGCAATGCCTATCCCCTGTTTATATGAGTAAAATAATAAAAGTAATTATAGAATCAATCCTTTTTAATGATTTATAAAATTCACCATTATATCGATATAGATATTCAATGAATAAATACCATTTGACCGGCTCCAATAATTCCTAATTGTTTTACTTGAGTCTAAAAAATAGACTGTCTTTAATTATTGTTGATTAAATTAATCCACGTACATTGATAAGAAACTAACTTACAACAGCAGAAGAATGAAAGCATGACTATAATTGAAAAAATCAAAAAGTTTCAACATTATAAAATACTTGTAAAAAAAAAAATTTTCTACATAACGATAAATCACCCTAAAGAGACCAACACCATTTGCGGTATAGCATTTATTCATATGATAGCTAATCTGAGATATCATAGAATTAAATAAACGAGTCATGTTTTCCCTGTAAAGGAAAGAATTAATCAAAAAAATTTTTAACCTACTACGTAAACACACGATTTATTGATTTCTAAACACATGAAACTTGGTACTAATACACCTATGGGACCTTTAACATTAGCTGATTTTATTGGTCTTGATACGTGTTTGGCTATTATGAAAGTATTGCACAATGAACTTGGTGAAAAATATAGATCTGCCATATTATTGCAAAAGTATGTTGATGCAGGATTGTTGGGTAAAAAAAACGGGAAAAGGATTTTATGAATATAAATAACTTTTCGATATAGTAAAATTTTTGATATACTTAGTAAAGTTTTTGAATTAAAATTTTGATATATCATATATATATGTAGTAAAATTTTGATATACGTAATAAAAGGTTTAATATATGTGAAAATTCAATGTGATAAAGAATTTTAAATTATGGTATTATTATTAAACTTTAACTCGATATAGTAAAGTACATATAGACACTATAATATTCTCTTATACTGTATTTTCTTATCTCTTATATTTTCTTGATTTATTATTAAACTTTAACTCGATATAGTAAAGTGCATATATATACTATAATATTCTCTTATACTGTATTCTCTTATCTCTTATATTTTCTTGATTTATTCTTTTTCTCGACCCGAGCATAAAGTTTAGAATATTAGGTCTATATTATGAATCTTGATTAATTTTACACATAATTGTGGTATCAAGCTTCTTTAATTAATATAAATATAACTTATACAACCGTATGCTTTCCTAAACTAGTTTTTGCCACATATATATATGTCGTTGTCTATGGAAATCTATCATGATGATGATAAATTTTCCATAGACAGCTAACTATACACAAAATATAATTGAAAGTCCGAACGGCCTTTTTCACTTGGCAGCACTCATATATATATATATATTTATATATGTGTGTGTGTCGCGTATTAATTGCCATTTATTTAAAGTTTCATAGATCGAATTACCGAAAGAACAGGTTATCAAAATGGTAAGCTTAAAAGGCATCAAATATTTTTTTAAAAAATATACGTATATCTAATACATATCTAATATTGTCTAATATATGTCTAATACTGTATATGTCTAGTATATATGTCTAATATATATGCCTAATATATGCCTAATGATGTAACAATCTTAAAGATTTGTTTAAAAGAAACATATATTAACATAATATATATACATACATATATATATATATACATATATATAGTATATATATATATTAACTTACAGTATACAGTATATACTAAGAAATGATAATTATCGAGTTTACTAAAAAAATTCATTTTATATACAGTACGTACGTATTAATGTTAAAGGCTAATTTTTTGTTATGTTAAAACACGTCAGGTCTAAATAAAAATCTTTTGAAGCCATGCAAATTTTTTCTACTTAAACCTTCTTTATTATTTTAATAACTAGACCTAAGTAAGGGGATGAACTATGGTAAAATCACGCAATTGCTTTTTTATTTATATTACACGTATTTTTCCTAAAAAATTATATATAGTATCCTTGCTTATAATTTTGTAATTATTCCTTTAACCAATAAAAAAAATTAATAAAAAATAGTTTTCATTGGACACCTGATATATAAAGAAACAAAGTTTTATCCGATAAAATTACTATAAATCTCATTAATATTTCTATTTACGTGTTAGTGATAACCGATGTTTTAATTAAAGCATTGCAATGATAAACGAGAAAAAAATAAAAGGAATAAAGATGATAAGCATTGTTCAATCAACCCTTACCTATTTTGTATAAATTTGTGCATCTCTTTGACTCTTGGACAAATTTTGCATCTTAAAACTCATTATTCATTATCTATTGTTTTTAAACATTTCATTTGTTCCTGAATTCAGCACGAAAAATTTTTTTTTTCTCTTTACTAATTTACTTTTCATTAGTACCAATTAAATTCAATTCAATATTTGTTTATCCATTTTTCATTGTTATAATCATTAAAATTTCTCACATCAAAGTTTCAAGGCGTTGCATAAGATAGAAAAACTTTAGTTAATTTTTAAACAAAGTTTCTAATATGTTTCAAAAATAATGTAATATAAAAAAAAAAAAATCCAAAAAAAAAAATTTGATTAGGTCATCAAAGCGTAATACAATTTCGGAAAAGTTTAAAGTTGTTTCTTTGTTTAGGATTTAAAAATTTTTTCTGGATCAATTTTGATTATTTATTGAAACTTTATGATTAAATCGCATCCATGCAAAACCAATAAAGTACAACTGTGAAATTACGTGATCTTTTTTTTATTGATAAATAAACATGCAAAAATTTGGAAATGGTTAATGCTAGTTAAAAGAAATAACATTATTATAATGTAAATTATAATCAAAAAATAAATGAGATATGAAATATTGTACCGGGGGATTCTTCCTTGTGACGTTATGAAAAATATCTCTTCCATTATATCACTTTTTATTAACTTTTTAATTACATTATTACAGCATTATCCTTTTAAGAGCACATTCTTATCCCTCATTAATCGATGTAACCTAATAAATTCTTCAATATTTCCTTGTTTTTTAAGTGAATAATAAACAGGTAAAAATGTTTCTGCGTTAGGATGAAACCCGTGTTCTTGAAATTTTTCAATGGTTTCCAATGCTACTTTTGACATTTTCTTGCGACACAAGCTCTTTATTATTCCATTATATGTTTCCTATTTATTAAAATATATATATAATTATATATATAATTATATATTTATATATAATATATAACTGATAAATAAATTACACGTAACAAAATTGATTACCTTACTTAATGGCGTTTCATTATTCGTCATATGATGTAAAACTATTAATGCTTCATTAAGGTTACCATTTTTTAATAATGTTCCCATTAGAAATGTAAACATATAATTACGTATTTCTTGTGGTGTCATTTTATAAAGTTCTGTAGGTGTCACGTTATTAAGATCAAGTTTTTCTCGTGATACTTTTCGTTCTTTTCG